GCGCCGCGGCCCCCCCGGGCGGGTGAGTGCGGGCCGGGCGCGGAGCCGGGTGGGTGCTGCCCCAAGTGCGGCCTGGGCCGGGAGGGGGAGGTCGCAGGTCCCGGCCCGCTCGGGTGCGCTGGCAGCGGCTGTGGCCGCCTTTGTGTGCGGGGTTCAGCTCGGCCTGTGCCGCAGCCTGCCCAGACCCGTCTGTCCACCTGTGTCCCTGTCTGTCTGCCTGCCTGCCTGCCTCTATCCCTACATCCGTTTGTACCCACCGATATCCGTATGTCTACCCCTCCCCCCCACGGATCTACCTCTGCTGATTTACCTGTATCCTTACATTGATCTACGTACCGGTCTCCCTGTGTCCATCTGTCCTGTAAGTCCCTGATGTTGAGACTGAACCTGACGGCCCTTGCCCCTTTCTCTTCCAGTTTGAAGCCAAAACCACCGTCCGTCTCCTCTTGCTGTAGCCCCCTGAAACAAGAATGGCCAGACGTTGGTTAAAACCATGGGTCCATTTTGTCCGGTCTTCTGTAGCGAACCGGGGCAGGGAGCGGACTGGGTATGACTAGTGTTTTTTCCACTTTTCCTCTCTCAGTTGCAGCCTCCAGCATTTAAGGTCAAGGAAGCTGTGAATTTAAGGTCTGGGAAGTTGCCTTGGGTCAGCTGAGTCTCTTGGGGTTAGCCTGGTCTGTCTGTGCGGGAAATGAGGGTTTTGAATTTAAGGGCTAGGACGTTGCCTTAACCCCTCGGCTGAGCATGTTGAGGCAGCATTTTCCTGGCATCAGGTGGGGAAAATGAGGGCTGGAGAAGCTGTACTTGCTTATCCTTGAGCAGTGAATGAGCCTCTCCAAGCTGGAAAAAGAACCCCTGTCTGCCTGACTTGCCAGTCCTGCAATGAGTGCGCAAGTTTCCTTCCCCCTTAAACTTGCCCCATGTAAACACTTATTAACATACTTGCTTTTGATCCCACAGGCAAATATTTAAATACCACTTTTCTGCTTTCTTGTGTTTCTCCTGACTGAGCTAATTCTCCAAAATATTTCAGCATTTCTTTCTGACACTGTTCCTTGTCATTGTGGGAGAAGGTTTGAAGTGGTGATTTGGGGGGGACTCCATGTTATGATCGCCTACAAATGCAAGGGGACAAGACTCTGGCCCAAAAGGCCCTTTCCAGTCTTGGGTTTCTAACGGTCAAGCTTGATCTCAAGTTTTTAGCAGAGTGACTCATGGAAGCAAACCACTTTTTAATTTTCAGATGCTGGGTTGAAAAAAATGGCCAGGTCCTGTTGTTTAGAGCAACGTCTAAATCGGGAGGGTGACCTGAAATTCACTTGCAGAAATATCAGATTTATTGGACTCTGTTTAAAGACAGTATATTTCATGTTCTGCTTAAATGCTTTCCTATAGACAGGCTGTAAGGTGTCCTCTGGAAGGGGGAGTTAATGCCCACATTTTGGGCAATCTGACAGTAGCCACCTGACTTCATTGCATGCCACTTTGGAAGATGGGGACTTTTCACTGACAGTGGTAGTTCTGACACTTCCTACCAAGTTGATTATCTGTACCAGTCGTTCCTAGTCGGGTATCCACATGTAAATGCTAAAAATTTCACAAAATTATGTTGTCCCCCAACTTTTCTTTGGAAGGAAGAAAACATGTCAAAATATTGTACCAATGCAAACATCTAAGGCAAATCTTGGCCTTCTTATATTGTATCCTGTGACAGGCATTATGTAACCTCGAGAATTTAGGAATTTTCATGGTTTGTAGCATCAAGCTCAGTGTTGAGGTGAGCAGGACTTTACTTTGTTGATAATAAGGACAGTCATGCCTGCTTTTGCTAGAGCTAAATGTGGTTCCTAACACTTTGGGCTACCAGGTAAATTGTAAAGGGAACCTGGTGATGTGATGAGAAACTTTTAAGGTTTTGCCAGACTTCTAGGAACCAAGATGGGCTGTTCTGTCTCATTTTGTTGCTGAGAAGGAGACAGCATATGCACGTGGTTGTTTTGCAGGCTATAATGGAACAATTCATATAATTTGGACTAAGCCAGGTAGATGCTGCACATCTTTGCTGGTTGTCAAAGCCTCGATAAGCTCTTTCTTCAGTTCACCACAGGGTGAAGTCTTGCTTCTTCTCAACTGTTCTATGAAATAGGCCGATTATAAGCTGCTTTGCTTGTTTTAAGCCCTTTCCCCACCCCAACCTTTTTTTGTGATGATTGAACCCTTTGAAGATGTTGCTCGTTTTAGTGTTCCTGAGACCATCTGTCTGACTTGATGCACAAAATTGTTTGCTTTGATGACTCTAATATAGCAGAGAGAGGTTTGTGTGAGCTCAGTGTGTATCCTTACTATGTGACCAGAGCAAGTGGAGGACCTTGCTTGAGACCTGCTAAGTTTGGGCTCAAAGTTGTATAAAAGCCTGCAGGCCAGGAAGAAAAAAAAAACGTTGATTTAAGTTTTGTTGTTAACTCAAACATTTTTCCAGACCTTTTTGGGACACATTGTACTTCTCAACTGATACTTCAGAGGGGCTTCTAATACTGAATTTAGCTCCAAACAGCATTCTCTTTTGCCAAAATTAGGTGTCACCCAGCAAGGACAAGAATACAGTATTTTTAAATATAGCGTGCACCTATGCCAAATCCTGCATATTAACTGAATATTTCATTGAGTTCATGAGTTAATGTTGATGTTGTACTTTCTGGGCATGATCATATATAGAAGCCTGTGTATTACCTTTTTAGTTTGTGTAGGAGTTAAGCTACTTGACAGTCATTTTGTTGTTTGTTTGTATTTCTGTTCTCTATTAACAGGATCCAAGCAGTTCATTTGAGATCCAAAGTATTGGATATCCAGATTCCTGGCTTTGATTTGAAACTTAATGGGGTTTTTTTGCTTTTATTGTAATAATTTTTTTCTAATTTTTGCTTCTGTAAGTGATTATGGGAAGGACACAGGATTGTTTTACTTGGTCTTCTGACCTTTATGCAGAACACACTGAACAGCAGAGAATAGACACAGAAGCCATGCATAGGAGGTTGTGAATGGGGAGAGGCAGAGGAATGCATATGTAGGAGGAATCTGCTTTCCAATTTTGTAGCAGACTAATGGAGGCGTTGGGAGCTCTTCAGGAATAGCTGTTACATTTACACTATGCTTGTAAAAATATTCACTCACAAATGTAACATGCTTACTACTTGCAACTACAGCATAATGTAAATGAGTAGAGCGTGAGCAAGAGTAGATGACATGCGACTTAACTCTTGAGGTTTGACTCCCCTGTTATCTTTAAAGAGATCCATGAGTTAATGGGTGTTCTCTATTCCCCTTCACCCATGTGATAGATATCAGGATAGACAGATAAATAAAACCAGCTTGGGGGGTAAAGATCGGAGCCTGGGAGGCAGCAAGAGAAACTCTTGTTTTTGGTGGGGTATTTTCCTCATCCTCACCTGCCTGATGCTAAAACATTATGAACATTAAATAATTGGCTTTTTTAAAACAAGTCCATTTTAGAGCTTAGGAAATTGCTGGGCTGAAAGCTGCCTTGATTGGATTTTTTTGTTTACACATAACATGGACAGCGAGCTTAACTGAAACCACACCCAACAACCTACTTCCCACTGTGGTCAGGATCTGGGGGAAGCTCACTGTTCCTATCTCTGACTTCCCTGATACTGAGATGCTAGACTAGGGCCCAGGTACTGAAAGTGGCTTTTTGATGGGCACTTACCTTGTGGGAATTGGATAGAAGCCCCACACCACACATTCACGTGAGGCTACAACACTGTGCTTTGTTTGTAACTTCATCCCGTCACAACCAAACAGGGCTGAATCCATAAGCAGGAGTTGGAAGGTCTTGTTTCTTCCCCCCTGAGCCATCCAACCTGCATTTCTCCCTTCTTTTCCAATATAGGGTTATGTCGAACATTCTCTTTGGAGCAATATAGGTTTTATTTAATAAGATCAAAATTGTCTTTTGTTTTAGAGGGAACACATATGTAAATTTTAGCCAGCGCATTATGTGACAAGGCAGACAGACCCCTGTCCTGGCATCTCAGGAACTTCCTGGAGAGATTTGGTATGTCTCTTTTAAAAAGAAAAAAACCATCAGTCGTAACATTTGTTTTATAACTAACAGATGACAAATGTCTGTCTGAGATGCAGGCGTAGTCCTCAGGCAAGTAAGGCCATGTCTAAATCCACAAGACATAGCACTTTAATTACCAGTATACCAAGATAGCTTAAAGCAATAAAATGCCCTTTGCAGATGCTAGACCAGTTGAACCCTTCTGGAAATAGCTATTCTAGTCAAAGACGGTTAAGACCCCTTTTATAGTGATGTAACTCTGATGATAGTAGAGGGGAAAATCAAACTTGTTTAGATTACAATGTTTTAAGTTGTCCCTTTGGAGGTAGTTTTATGAAGGGTTGGTAATACTCTGGTACTCCAACACGCTTTCTATTGCAAGAGGTTTTCAGAGTTTATTAATGAAGGTAACTAATGCAACAGTTTATCGTAGGTCTTGTGGAAGCATGTTTTAGCAGGTTCACATCTGTCAGTATTGACCCCTACGAGAGCGTCTCTCAAAGCATTAATGGCGCAAATAAATAATCTCTGTAATGTGCTGTTGCTTTGCACACTGCTTCTGGAATTTGTGTCTGATTTATTGGAGGGGGGAAGTGATATTTTTGTGTCTGTCACATAGAATGCTTAATCTGTCTCTTGCATGAGCATGCCCAAAGCCCTATGTCCTGTGGAGTAGGCTGGATTTAATTTATATGGAGAGATGTCCAGAAATACTCGGCTCTACCTCTTGCTTTCCAGACCTAACCCCCTCCTCCTGAATCCCTGTCTCTCTCTGCTCTTCCCCCCTTGCTGTTTACTGTATCCTAATATGGTAAAATTAGGGACCTACTTAATTTGCGGTTTCATGGATTTCACAGAAACCACAAAATCTAGGATTGTCTGCAAAATCCATAAAATCAACAAAAAAACCCACCTTTATTTTTATTAAATACTGGCTC